CACAAATTAGTTAGCATAAATCAGTTAAATGACGAAAAATTAGGTGTCTATTTACTTGTGACCACTCAGTGTACTTGCATTCACTGTGTGGCTCTGTAATTAAATATAACCTTTTCACATCCATGAGTTCTTAAGTTCATGTATTTTAATCTTAATAAATTTTTCTTTCCACCAGAAAATCAACAGTAATTAGAATAAAGTACACAGGAAACAATCTTATCTTCAGCAAATGGTATATAAAAACAATATAATACAGAACATAAAAAAAATTCAAGAGTTAATCACAACTGGCAGTCTTGTGAAATTATAGTAAACATACAAAATAGAATAGCCAGCTGAAACTAGTAGTAGTTTGAATCTTGCACATAAGAGAATTAATTCTAGCTTCAAGCAAGTATTAGGTAAAAACATGTTAGTATGGAACAGAAAATACAATTCAGAGTCAATTATCTTGTGAAATTCTAATATTCATTAAAAATATAATGGCCACTTGAAAAACATGGGTGGAGCCAGAAAATATATATTATACTAGAAAATGAAAACATACATATATTTTTAAACCTTTCTGGATGTACAAGTTGCTGTTATTCTTAGATGAATGCTCCAATCTATGATGTTCTTATTGCTGGGGCTAAAACTAGGCACTACTATGACAATAAGCCTATGAATTCTAAACAAAATGCAGTTCAATACATTTTTCACAATAATACTTGCTAAACAGTGAAAACACATTTTTTGTTTTCTTACTATTATAACCTAAGAGTTGTTTTGTCAACATGATCATATAGTATTTTAAAAAAGAATAAAAATACCATTTTTTTAAGGTTCTACTAGACACCATTAAAATATCTGAGACTATATATTTTTTGAAACAGATCTCACTCTAACTTTTTATTCTCCAACATCTTCAAATATAATAATTTTTCATAAATCATTAACAAAAAAGTATAAACAAAGTACAACCACCAGATTGGTAGTTAAACCATCAATATGGAGAAATAAGTAGATACTTATTGGTCTAAAATTTTTCAAAATGGCTGGCTTTTCTCAAATGATTAACATATGAATTCTCAAACTATCTTTCCATTGTTTTATGTCTGTCAGTTTGCTATGAAGATCCTATATATCAATATAATTTTGTCCTATATCATTCCCTGATAGAAAATAAAAGTAAGTACAAAGTTGGTTAAAGCCATAAGCACTTCACATACTATTTGATATTTCTATACATCCAAATGCCATGCTATTATACTTACATTGAGAAAAGCAAAACATACAGTCCAAGTGCTGAGTAAAATATATGAGTGACAATGATATTAGAAAAGTCAACCAAAGTACGCTGATTACATGTACACATACTTGCAAATTTAATTTTATAAATGTTCTGACAAAGAAAAAAAATAGAAATAGTTACATATACTATAGAATCAAGCAGCCATGAATGATGGAACAAATTAGACAGAAGAGGCATTAATGCCAGCAATTTGATTATCTACAACCCATTTATTTTGGTAACACATAATCCTGCACACAAATAACAAAAAAGAGGGAACTACTTACTACTGAACTTTCACCTTCTTTGTATTCAAACATACTCTTCCCAGTATATCCAGAAGTTAATCCTTTCTCACACTTTTGACTACTCCGACCAGCCCAGGATCCCTGAATCCTAGCATTTCGACGCTTATCACTCATCTTAACTGTTAACCTATAGAATAAATTTAAAGATAATAATTATAGTACAAGGAAATGCATACAGATCATATCCTTACACTGATTTTCAAGAACTGTCATTTTAGTGTTATTATTTATTTATTATTGTCTTTTGTCCCTTATCTTAAATGAATGCTGTAGACATAACATGTAATAACCTAAAGTAAAAATGTTTTAAGACAAACAGAATACCCATATATATGTTACAGATTTATTTTCTTTCTATCAAAGGTAGAAATTAAAATATTATCTGTGACATACAGGCTTAATGCATTCCTTGATTGGCCATACCCTTGGCTGTGTATTGGAGTTTTACCTAGTAAAGCTCATCAGTACAGCTTGGGTCAGCAAACCAAAGAAATAAAGCATGACTTCTTATAATGGTGATGTGTGTGCAAGATTTGTGTGATTTTTTAGTCCTTTTATTTCGCCATACAGCAACCTAAAACAATTTAAGAATGTGGATAATATTAAGGTGAAAGTGCAGTCCAAGCAGAGAGTACAGCCAATCAAGGAATACATTAAACCTCTATGTCACAGGTGACATTTTTATTTTTACCTTTCGTGAAAAAGAAATCTGTAACATACATATAGAATCATTAAACAGTTAGTCTGATATATAATATAAAATCATAAATTAGGCATAATGCCATAATATTAATCACACACCTATATCACTTTAGGTTACCCTATGATGAATTAAAAAGGGCTCAAAACCCTCATAAATCTTATGTATGTATATGGTTGTACCTTAAAAACCCCTTGGTAAAACAAAAAAGCCAGTTACACTGTTTATTCTGAACATTAAATAATCCAATTGAACACAAGTTTTACAAACTGTACCCAATTTGACACTCATCGCAAAAATGTATAAAACAAAATATTGTGTAAAGAAACAAACACCGAAATAACTTTCAGAAAGTTTTAAAATGATTAACTGAAAAATTACTCGGAAAGTTCAATTCTTGAAATATTGGACAAAAAAGATAATAAACAAATTACAGTATGAACTTAGTGATAGAAAGTCATGTTGCATTTCAACAAGTGTTTAAAGTGATACTGGAAGAAGGATAAGGCTGGAAATAGTAACTGAGCAAATATTAATCACGAGTTTTGGAAAACCAGATCAACTATCTTTTTTTTTTAAAAAAAAAAAAAGACTTCTCTGTTAGTTACAAATTTGTGGAGTGATTCAACTCCTAGTTATTTGAATTAATTTAAATGTTATTGAATAGGTACATATTTTCAAAGGGTATATTTAGCTTGGAAAATTTGCTTGGTTGGAGTGCGAGGTATGACTTTAAAGTGCTAAATGATATAGCGTCCAACACCTTACTATTACTTAAAAGTGATCATCTAGTCTACAGTAAGACTTTACCCCATAAAAAGATAACATTAGCATACAGGATAAAGCTTGAACTTGAAGTTTGAATACAGTGGAATAAATCTGTAATTATAATAATGAAAACAAAACCTGTTTTCTTCAAAGACAGCCTTGAAAACTATATATCTTATTTAAATAGTTTGGAATATATTACATGTAACTTATGTAATTGTAATTATACATTTCAGACGTAATTCACTAATTATCTGGGTCAGTGACTGTCCCAAAGTACGCGTGATTGAGTTTTTAATAACATTAATAATGTTTTGTCTGGCAATGTAACAAAAACTGCCTGAAAAATATTTAAAGTAACTTTTAAAAAGTAAATGTCCAATATGGCAATAGCCAGGTTAAACGCCGTTGTAAATAACTTATCAGTTTCTATTACTTCGACTCGAGTTCGAAAAGTTTTAGCAAGCACCTGTGCTTAATCCATAGCTTGAAATGAAATTACTTGCCTTATTAATCAAGATTAAATTACTCCTGCTATTAATTTAATACCATTAACTGAAGTAAGCTAGTAAATATATACTACCTTGTTAGCACTTTATAATATTGACTTATTTACGGTATTAATACAAAACTGAGCTCTATCCATAACACTACCCTTATAACAGTGCGTTATAACTTTAAAGCGCCCTCCTTCTATTTATTCTTTTTTTTGTTGTGTGTGTGTGTGTAAAGGGCCAATTGTTGCCTAAGAGTAAAAACACGTCCGGTGTAATCCTGTTTTTGCAACATTTTACAGTCGTAATAATAATATTTTGCAGTGTAGAAAAATAAAAACACACTTTAAATTCACAGTGTAATTGTTTAGAGGATACGACATAAAATACTCACCCGGGATCATCTGGGCATTCATGTCGTGCACCCAACTCCCACATCCCAAAAAGACTATGCTTTTTTCGAGCCTTAAGATGTCCTAAGCATGAACTAAAATGTTAGCATTGAAAATTTGGGGAAGCACTACCTGTTATTACCACATATATGGAGGTATTCTTGAATGCGTTTTTGGCCATTTGGCGTCAAGCGCCATTTGAGAACCTCAATATTTTGTCATTGAGAAACACGGAGCTGCCTATAAAAGCCACAAATAATATATTAGATGAAAACTGATTTCATTTTACATCATCAAATATGCTTATATATATTTTTATCAGTACAAAAATCATTGAACTTTAACTGTTTAAGGGAGTCATGCCACAGTCTTCTGCATTGACGCCATGAAGAAGAGTCTTATTTCAATTGTTTTTGTTTCACGAATAAATATTGTTACGCCTCCTTTCGTTAATTAATTTTCCGTAAAAACTCTTTCCGAAGAACTTTAGCAATACAAGTCCTTTCTTAAATAAAACTGGTTTATTCTTTCTGAATACAACTTTGCAATACACTTAATTTCCACAGTCGCGCTATAACAAACGCTATGATTCACAACGAACGTCTCACGTGCTCGCTCAACAATACGTCTCTCTCTCTGTGTCCGCAGTTCAATTAGCCATTGTTGCCGGCAGTTCTTGGTGGCTTATATATATAAAAGACTGCCGCATATCTAATAGCCTCTCGAGACTTCAGGAAGGGACAGGATCCTTCTAGAAGATCATGACGTGTTACTAGAGTCACGTGACCCCCGCTGTCGTAACAATATTTATGGAATACTCCATGAAAATTACATAAAATAATATTTCATTTCCGGGCAGCTTTAATTTGACACCAGAACCATGTTGGTATCGCGCCGAAAAACGGAGCAATTACATTTCAAACTGGAGAGGGGTGTGTCCAAAAATCCCCAAAATGATCAGATTTATAACATACTGTTATGTATCTGCTCGTTTGTTAATTTCCAGTATAAATTCTTTCCGAGGAACTTCAGCGATACAAGTCCTTTCTTGATACAACTTTTTGTAATACACAGAATTTCCACAGTCACTTTAAACTTAACAATCTTTATAACACACGCTATAATTCACAGTTATTCACACACTTTACTTACGGTGCCTACTGTTCGCTTGTCTAAGTTATCT